CTCTTTCTCCAAGGGGGATTTTAGCTACATCAAAAAGCACAATTGCATGGTCATCATCACAAATTATGTCATCATCAGAAACAGTAATTTCCAAAATATTCTGGGGAAAAAAAATGAAAAATGTCTAATATATTAGCATGTACTCAAAAGATATAACATTCTGCAGTTCTTCCAGGTTCAGTACCTCCTTTACAGAGTGGAAGTAGAAAAGTACAGATGACAGAGTCACAAGGAACACTAAGAAAATGAGTGTAATCTCCTTTAATAGAAACATTTTCTAGGCTCATCAGTTAAGGCTGAACTGAGATTTCTTGTGGATCACCTTTTATACTTTTAAGTAGCTCTCACAAAAAATGCAGTCCATTAGGAAGGAATATGGATAGCCAGAAGTCCTATATTGCCCCTTGTCAAAAAAGGCAATACAGATCATTTAATACAAGTGATAGCATTTCTGTGTCCTTGGGCTTTCCACTTTCTGGCACCTGTTCAAGGATATTGGGCTGCAGTGTCATTATAAGCAGTAAAATGAGTAAAGATCTTAATCATACTAGAATTTAGCAGCTTCCTGGCACTGATATGCCAATATTTCCTGTCCTTTCAGGGAAGTTGCATTTTTCTGTTACACTGCTACTTTACATTTTCATTTCATAGTTTCTCTGTGTTGTCATTTTGTTACAGGTCCCACCAGCCTTCTCCAAGGAGTCAGGCTCACATGACTGATATATAAGTAATCTGTTAGGAGAGAAGTAGATTCCAGCAAAAGCCAATTTTTTTTTGCTTCAGTTTGTGAGGGGAATTTAAAATAAGCTCAAAAAGGCACTATAAGACATGACATGTTTTGGACTAAACTGAAAGAAGCTGCATACAGATGAGACAAAAGGAAGAAGAGAGTTTTTAGTTTGTGTACCTTGACTTGCCTCTGTATTCGGAAGTAGAAGGTTTCATTCCACACGGGATTTCTGCAGTTCTTGATGGTTTTTGTGTGGAATTTTTCATCTGAAGCAGTTGGCAACCAGAGGCTCACGTAGCAATCAGATTGGCTTACTATAGAAACACAGGCACAAAATAACTTGCACTGGAAGCACAACAAAAGAAGTTTAAATGCTCTGTAGCTTGAACATGGATGAAAAATGGCCAGTTCTTTCTGATATGCACTGGCCAAACCAGGAAGATAGAAATCACACAGCTGGATAAAGTGATTCAGAATCATAGAATGCCAGGTTGGAAAGGACCTCAAGGATCATCTGGTCCAATCTTTTCTGGGTACTATTTTAGTTTATATGAGGTGGCTCAACACCCTGTCAAGCTGACATTTAAAACTGTCCAATGTGGGGGAATCTACCACTTCCTTTGGGAGATTGTTCCAATGGTTGATGATCCTCATTTGAAAAATTTGTCTCTTGTAATCAGAATCTCACACTTGTGCCCATTACCCCTTGTTTTTTCCATGTGAGTCCTTGTAAATACGGAGTCTCCATCTACTTGGTAGCCACCCTTTAAGTACTGGAACATTGTAATAAGGTCTTCCAAAGCTTTCTTTCCTCAAGGCTGAACAAACTAAGTTTTCTCAGTCTCTCCTCATTTGGCAGGTCTTCCAGTCCTCTGATCATCCTTGTGGCCCTTCTCTGGACCCTCTCCAGGCTGTCCACATCCTTTTTGTAAAGCAGGGACCAAAACTGAGCACAACACTCCAGGTGTGCTCTGACAAGCTTCAAGTAGAATGGGATGGTGACTTCTTGATCTCTGCTGGTGATGCCCTTGTTGATGTACCCCAGCATCCTGTTGGCTTTCTTTGCTGCAGCACACTGTTTGCTCATATTGAGCCTGTTATCCACCAAGACTCCCAGGACCCTTTCCACAGGGCTTCTCTCCAGCCAGGTAGATCCCAGACATTTCCAGGGACTAAAGTGAGGCTAACGGGTCTGTAATTACCTGTGTCCTCCTTTGAACCTTTCTTGTAGATGGGGATGCCATTAGCCTTCCTCCAGTCCTCAGGGACATCTCCTGATCTCCACAAGTTCTCAAAGATTACACAGAGCAGCTTTGCAATGACAGCAGCTCTGTCAGCACCCCCAGGGGAATGGCATCTGGGCCCATCGATTTGTAGAGGTCAAGCTTCTGTAATAATTGACACACCAACTGCTCTTTCACTGATGGTGGGGCAGTGCCTGCATCAACCTGGACTGTTGTTCATCACAGCAGTATATTTAATAAGCAGTGTATTCAAATAAAAATGGACAATGCTACACATTTTTTAAAATAAACAGTCTTAGCCAGTAGATAGAACAATGGGAATAACCAGGAGTCTTATATTGCCCCTCATCAACATTACTTAAGTTACTTAACTTAAAATTACTTAAGTTTACTTAAGTTACATCAACATTACTTTGCAAATTTGGCAGGGGGATAAACTGCAACCAATGCAGCAGAGTGAGCCTCAGACCCTGAGAAGCACTGGGTGTAAGTCACCTCTATGGCATTTTAGCTTCATGATAAATCTGAAAAGAATCAGGTTTGGGGCAGATTCGGATAATAAATGTCTGGCCTACTTAGTTATTAATACTTCATAATGGAAAACTAAGTATTCTAGCTGCCCAGAGCATTGTCTCCTTAGGTGGGCTAGGAAGGGAGAGTCCTATCAGCAGTGCAATTACTTTTCTAGAAGGTAAATAGGAAGCTGGAGCCTTTTCCTGATATTTGCTGATGCTTGAAAGACCTGGAAGCTATTTCCCACTCCACATCTCTTCCCAGGAAAAATGAAATGGCAGAGGTATTTGGATCTTGCAGATGGAGACAGTGAGCCTGCACTTAGTACAAGGGATCATCTCCCATTGATCATGATTCAAACACCAAAGAGATTCTTAGACCTTGGACAGGAACTTTCCCAGAGGGAACTGGAAGGACTGATCCATCCTGTTGTGTAAACACAGGTTGTGGTGAGAGAAGAGGAGAAGGGGAAATGTCAGGTCCCATGGCAGTCAATGTAAGTATCTCATGAGCAGTGATGAACAGGCACTATCTATAAGCATGGGACAACTCTTGAGTCAGTTCCTCAGGGTGAAAAGAGAGTTCATCCAGGTGTCATTGCTCAGAATATCAGATATATTGCTGTGGGATATTTTGCCTGAACATAAGGTGTTGCCTAAAATCCAGAGGCCCTGTGACTGAGACATCTCCAGAGGATGATGCCTGCCTGGCAGGGAGATTCCCAGGTAACTCTTCACACTGAATCTGAAGGAATTTCTTGACACTACTAGGAGTTTTGCCTCACTGAGGATGTAGGTTGCCTTTCTGTCTTTGAAACTATCTCCACAGGCAACATTTCAGCATCTCAGATTTTTACATAATCCAAGTGACAGGGTAATATATTGACTTTGGCAATTATCAGTGTAAGATTCAATTTACAACATGCAGGAGAGCTGCGAATAGCAATGTGTCTGATAACATACACCTCCCCTCATTGTGCTATCTGACAGCCTGCCAACCTGTGAGGTAGTCATCCTGGTCAGGGGCACTGCTGGCTCTGAGACAGAGTTTCTCAAGAGCACATAGGTAGTCTGTACAAAAGCCAAAAACTAAATGTGCCCTCAGGCCATCTAGACCATTTCTTCTCTTATCATTAATGCACTTTCCACTGCAGATCTTGAGTGTTCCAAAAATGTGAATCTAGTACCCCCAAAATCACCAAAGTGGCTGAGATGACATATATTTCAGAAATGTTACATTGATCTGAGGCAGATCTCTTCTTTTTGGTTTCTGGCCATTGTAGGGTTCAAGAAGGACACATTTCTGTATTTTTGCTGTAACTGCAAAGGCCAATTCTCTTAATTTCTTCTCTTCTTCATAATGAAAACCAATATGCTCTATCCATTTTTAAACTCCAGCTTGTACCCACAGTGTATAAAACAAGACTAATGATATAATTGAGAAAGCTGGCAGTGCTAAAAATCTGAGTCACACATGAATGGGCAGCAACAGCACTTATGTGTTTTTTTTACTGTTTTTGCTGGAATTTACAGATTTGCTGGAGTGTTTTCTTTGACAGAAAATATTAATGAGCTTGATTTCTAAAATTATTTTTCCATATGTATTGCATTCTGAAATAGCTACTTAAAATAAGTTATTGACAATCCTCTGCCAAACTGATGATGTACAGGTGAGATAAATGGACAGTGAGGTCTATTAAAAATTGGCTGAACTGCCAGGCTCAAAGGATTGTGGTCAGCAGCACAAAGTCCAGCTGGAAGCCAATCACTAGCCATGTACCCCAGGGACTGATACTGGGGCCAGTGCTGTTTAACATCTTTGTCCCATTATCCAGATTGTTAATAGAGTGCACCTTCTGCAAGTTTGCAGGTGATGCAAAACTGGAAGGAGTGAGTGACATGTGAGACATTCAGAGGGACCTGGGCAGGCTGGAGAACAGCCAACATGAGCTTAATAAAATTAAGAAAGAAATGAAAGAGAAATACAACGTCCTGCACATGAGGAGGAATAACTCCATGTACCAGGACAGGCTGGGGACTGACCATTTGCAAAACAGCTCTGCAGAGAAGGATCTGTGAATTTTGGTGGACAAGTTGAACAGAAGCCAGCAATGTGCCCTCATGGCAGAAAAGGCCAACAGCCTACTGGGCTACATTAGGAAGAGAGTTGCCAACAGGTGAAGGGTGAATCTCTCTACTCAGCACTGGCAAGGCCACATTTCTGGGTTCCCCAGTACAAAAGAGGTAAGGATGTACTGGAGTGAGTCTAGCAAAAGAAGCAATGAACACAAACCAAAATATATGAAAACCCATTTAAACAAAAATCCACTTCTTTTTCTAAGAAGGTGGTTAAACCCTGGCACTGGTTGCCCAGAGATGTTGTGAAATCTCTATCATTAGAGTTGTTCAAAACCCAACTGAACATGGCTCTGAGCAACCTGCTGTATTTGACTGCTTCGAGTAGGGGGCTGGACTAGGTGATCTCCAGAGGTGCTTTCACACCTCAGCCACTCTGTGTAATTCTGCAATATCAAGTCTAATTGGTCACAGACAAATTAGTAACTACTGAGTGCAGATTCAACCTTGAAGACGAGATGAGGTGAAACCACTAGGAAAAAGCCTGTACTCATCCCATAGAGAAAGGGAACTATGCCATACCTGTTTTTGCTGCAACTCATCTACAGTCCCTACTGATTGGGAGAAGTTATTGTTTCCCATATAATTCCTCAATTTTTTTGTTTTCCTCGAGTTGTACAGACAGTTACAGTTATTCCCCATGTTGTGGCTCTAAGTTAGCTGATTTATTTCTGTAGAAGTTCACTTGCAGCCAGGCTAAACTGTGAGACAAACAAGTGGGACAAGTGAAAAATAAGGGTTGGATATGGGAGCACTTAAAAGACTAATCAGTTTTTGCTCCCTCTTACCCCGGAAAAAAGTGTGCAAAAGAGCTACTGAAAATCATCCACTTTATTAATTACTACCTGTGAGATAATAAAAAAAAAAATAATAATTTGCATTTTCTTCATGCTCTAATTTTAATGCAATTGCTGGACATCATTAGCAATGCCATGCCAGATCTTTACCTCAGTGCATGTGTTGCAATTGCATTCCATGATGACATAATGTAACCCCATGTGGATGCTGAGGCATCTGAACTCAGTCTCTTTGCAAGTCAGTACTAAGTGACCCAGGTATTCCTTCCCAGTTTTCAATTTATTCTGATTCAGTTGCATTTGGTGGGATTATTTCTTATCTCTGTCTTCAAGATAAAGGTGAGCTAAATGGACTTGACTCAACCAAGAGTTTCAGAACTGCAGGCAGCTGTTTGCTGCTCTGTAAGAGTGCAGTCCTGTGGCATGTTCTGGAGATGAACCATCCCATGCTAAAGTAATTAATCTCCATCAAAAATAAGAAGATGTTAACAACAGTGAAAACCAAAGCATATAAGGAAAACTACTTTCCTAAGAGCAATGGGTGTAAACTATAAATCCTACCCATCCTATTACTGCATTTCATAACACCAAAAAGAAGAAATCCTTTTCTTCTAGTGAATTCCTCTCCACCTGCACAGACAGGTTCCCCTTGAATCCAAGTTTACCATAGTTTACCTAAAAGGAGGAGGAGAGGCTCTCTCATTTCTCAATCATTGGATATAATCTACAGGGACATTTTCTCTCTCTAGCACAGTAGGATGCAAACAACATTAAGAAGTTACCTCCAACTTCTATCTAGCTGAGAGCTGATTTGAACTGAACTCTGCCCTCCAAAATATCCAGGTGCAACATTCATCTGTAAGTATAATGTTACTCCTTGTATCTTGCTTGAGAAAATAACAAAGGCTCATAGATTTACTGTGCTTAATCAGTGATATCCTTCGCCAGGAATGAAGAGGGTCTTGTGGGGATGAGCCCTCAACCTTGTCCAGCCATTTAAGTTGAGTGGCAAAGATTTGCTCCCTGGAGCACAGACTCAATGTGTTCAATACCTGCTACAGCCACAAAGCAAAGCTTTTGCAGCCTGGGTCACACCTCTACCTCCTCCACAAACACCATAATTTGCATTCTTGAAGTAGGAGGATGAGGATCACCTGCACTGGGTGTATTCTTCCTAATTTGATTGCATGTGTTTTGCATAGAAAAATAACCCTTGATGTCTTTGGAGAACTGCTCTGATTTACAAAGACTTCAGGTATATCATCCCAGAACTGACTCATTTCTTCTAACAAATAAAGAGCTGCCAGAAAACAGTTGTATAAAGCTGGAAAGGAGAAAGGGTCTGAGCTTCTCTTTTATAAATATTCAAGGTCTCTCTTCATCCAGAGATGCAAAAAACAAAAGGAAGGTGTGAGAACAAAAGGAAGGGTAAAGGGAGTGGTGTGATTGTTCTGACATCCCAGCTAAAACCAACAGGTTTCCTTTCACAACTGAGAAAGCTTCCACATGCACCTGATTTCTACAGTTAGAAACTATACCTTGATAATCACAGTTGTATTTCAACCCTGCCCAATATTTCACCTTGAACTACCTCAGCTCTGACAGCTGCATCACAGGAATCCCCCTACCCACAGCCTCTTGAACTGACAAGACAACACCCAGCAGAGAAGTTTCTGTCTCTGGGAAGAAATAAACTGTCAGCCTGAAACTCACTCCAAACAATTTCTTGCTGGGACACACAGCTCAAATTCACCTGTGCAGGCCAGGCAGTATTGCAGACATGCAGGAGTGAGGCTGAGTATGTTAAGCTTGACCTGACACTTCTCTTCTTCCCCCCTTCTGCATGAATGAGCCCCAACCTGCTCTCCAACAGCAAAGGTCAGCTCTCAGTATGAGGTATCAGCAGGTACCTGCTCAGGCTGCCACAGTTTCAGAGAGAAGCCTGTCACTCATGTCTTCAGGGTTATGTGAGACCCAGTGGAGTCTGAGAATGCTTTGCTCTTTCACTTTGTGCTAAATCATAATGGGGAAGGCCACATTGCTGCTGGTCAGTGTCATCAGCATTGTCTGAGAACCTGGGAGAGGTCTGCTTCCCCTTCTGGCTCCTCAGGGCAATTTCCCTCATGCCAGATGAGGCAGATCCCCTCACTGATTGTCTCTTTGTCCATGGAGGTGGGGTAAAGGCATAAGCTCTGCCTATGGACTGCAAAAAATCAGTAATTAAATATTAATGATGCTGAAGGTAGGCTAGGCTGGGAGCTTGGTGCACCTCTGTGTGGCCATCCAATAACTCATTTGTTGAAGGAGAGCAGCTGGAAGGTATTGGCAAGCCTACGTCACCATGGTCCTCCTCTCCCATCACCAGTCTCCTTTCTCATCCTTTTGGTAAACAGTTACCAGAAAGGCTGTTAGCAGCAAGGAAAAGAGCTAATACACCATTTCCCTCATCACCACACCCTGACCATATATTCCTCCTACTCCTGGGGAACTCTCTAAAAGAAGTGATTCCATTAATAGGGCCAGAAAACATGAGCTTCTCTAAAAGCCTCTAGCACTAACCTCCAGTCAAGGAGGAGCAAAAGAACACAATGGCCAAAAAAGTCACTCTTTTACCCAAGGCTTTCTTTCTAGCATTCCCACCACCTCCCCAATATGTGTGAGTGTTGGAGCCTGGTGATGACACTCAGCATCTGCAGGGCAGCAGGATGAGCATAAGATACCTTATCTGGGCACCCACCCCTCAAGTACCCTCCGTGAGATAAGAGAGTACCAGAAATGTGTGTCTGAGTATGACCCATGATTACAAATTGGCATAGAGGACAGTTAAGAATACAGTGAAAACTAATCAGCTCAGGCCTGTCTAGAGCATTTGCATGGTAAAATAAAATAAAAACCAGTTGCATGAAGCAGGAAGCAAACGTTGGAGTTAAACATTACCTAAGTACAGAGAAGCCTGCAAAAGTGGTGGAGTAACTGCAGGTATATGAAAAGGGGTAATTTATTTATTTTTTTCCTTGTGTGAAAACAGATGCAGTCATTGCCAAGCTCCACCAGCATGTTTTGTCTACAGGCAAAGGTGTAACATCAGATTTCAGGGTAAGCTGGGACGCTGTCCCAGGCTTGTGAAATGTACATCCCATGGTTCTTGAGATGCATGTTTTAAAAACATCCTGGATTAAGCTGGGTGCACATGATGGTCAGGAATGTCAGTGGAAGTATAAAGAAAGCAGCATGGTCTGAAGCCAGGATTTGCCAAATAAGCCAAGGAAAATATGAAAACTCTAATGGCTGAAGGACTTGGCATTACTGCACTTGCAGTGAATGGGAAGAAAATCAGGGAAATGGGCTATGTTTTAGCCAAGTAGAGATGAACAGAAACTGGAGTAAGCAGATAACAGTGTGTGCTTAGAAAGATGGAAAGCCAGCATGTGAGCAGAAAAACCAATTCATAGAAGATACTGCACTTGTTGGAAAGGTGGCTTGTTCCTGGCTTTGATACTTGGAAAATGAAAATCTACTGAAATATAAAATATCACAAAAATTGGTAGCCTTCCACTGATATCCCACTGTCAGATGGCACCTGTATGAACTGCTTCTAATCCATTTTCCCAGGGAAAATATAATGTTGCTGAGAAAAAACTAGGTAGATAAAATTTTCTAATTATCATCAACACACATTAGTATGTGTAGCTATTTTTTTTTTCTGAAACCTCAAATACATTCAAATATTAAAACCAAAACATTAAAAGGACATAAATATCAGTGCAAAATCAATCACTTAAAGATTACAAGAGATCTTTTTGCACTGCACTGAAGTATTTAAATCACATAGTATCCAAGTTGTTTTTTTTCCTGGGAGACTCCAGCTACTTTGAGAGCACAAGCAGGTTGCTGTTCCCACAAAGAGCTACTTAGTATTTGTTGATCTTCCTTGTTTAACAGCATGCTGGTTTACAGTGCTCCATTATGGTATGTCATCCTTAAGAAACAGGCTCAGTCACAGAGTATCTAGGCAATTACTGACAGAAAGGAGAAAATGATCTTATTTTCTTCATCTGCTAGTCCCCAAATCTTCTTTACTGGTTATTAAGAAAATAATCTGAAGATACTTCTCACCATTTCTAGGACTTAACACACATCTTAAACTAGCATCCCTCTACATATAAGAGATTACCCATTTCAAAATGAGCACATCATCTAAATAGACAAGAGAGAGACAATATCTGGGAAAAGGTATTATATTATCCATGTTTTGTACATAGGGCAACAGAAGCAGAGTGTTTGGATTACTTGCCTAAACTTATACAAGTCTGTTGGCAGAGCTAAAAACTGAGCCCACACATCTTGATTCCCACTTCAGACATGCACATTTTTGTCATAATGAGACTTTTCTAAATTTCTGTATTTAGTTATGCAAGACTTCTGAAATCCCACTGTCCTTGGGATGGAGGAAAAAGTCACAACAGCAAAACTATTTTCTGAGAACACAGCATAATTTTACTTTGTGCAATCCCTTTGCATAAGCCAGTGAATCATAGTTCTTATCTTGTCATTCTATTTCTATTCTAGATGAAAGGTGGTAATAAGGAAATGAAATAGGCACCTCAAAGGAGTTAATATGAGGTCTTGCACATGTGTGCAGTGTTTCTTAGCTGTAAAAAGGAATAGAAATATATTTGACCTTCTTTGCTATCCTATGAAATTTCTTCTGTTCTCTGCAACCCCTATTACAGAACATGTGAGCTCAACACATCTCCATTTGACTGGAAAATTGACAGTGGTGACATTGATGTTCTTGAAACAACAAAGTGAGTGGAATACGAAAAGTTGGTGAGAGATTTTCTTTGTAGAATATTGTTCCATCAGAAGATGGAGATAAAAACAAATGATAGTGTTTGGGGTGAAAATGTTGTAGCCTCTGAATTTTCTAGTGAAAGTCATGTAGTGCTTACTTGAAGCAAACTAGAAGGTATCCTGCCATGTCCTTAGTCTATCTCAAAGCCTGTCTGATGACTTGCTGCCTCATGTAAAGATGGACCTTTAGAGCTGCTTGTCCAGTAGTAAGGAGCCCAATCCAAAGTATTCCTGTATTCTAGGTATTTGTTATAGACATCAAATGTAAACACCTTGGTATTAAAACTGGTGTTAGGATATTTTTACACCTCTGAAATAGCCAAGCTCCTGTGCTTTGCTGACTGATGAAAGTCTTAAAGATTTAGTCAATACCCTACCTGGCATTGACCTGTTGTTGACTTCATAAAACAAGCAAACAAACAAAATCCCTCTGAAATTGTAAATAGATACTCTGTGGCAGAAATTGGCTTTGATTGTGATTTCTTAGCTGATATGATTTCTGTATTTTGCATTTCTGCAGGGCTAGCACAAACAGGGGCTGATCAGGTAATTTTATAACTCTATGATGTCAGTAAAAAATCTGGTACTTACAAAAGTCTGTCTGATGAGCATTTCTCAACTTTATGATTCTTACAGTGAGCAGGGAGTAAGGTGACGTTTCTTCCTGCTGGAACAAAAATAAAAACAAAGATATATGATATGAAGTTTGGGATATGTGTATTTCTTGTAATGACAGCCAGACACTGAAAGGAACCCGGGTTGAGCTTGAGCCACCTCTTCCAGTTGACATCACAGCAAAAATACAATGGGCCACAAAATGCACTTTCTCCACAAACTTCATCAGCCCCTGAAGTCTGCAGCCACCTAAGCGTACAAACAGAAAAGGTGGAAATAGGAAGTTAGAGACAGGAGGTAAACAAGCTGAGGAAGTTCAGCTAGCCAGCTACATTGAATCATACATGTGGCCATCAGCATCCAATAAAACAACACTGAATTCTCAGTGAATGACAAATCAGAAATGCTCTGGTTCTGGTGGAAAGAAAGGAGGGATCTTTTTAGGTTCTCTCTTTTATTTTTAAAAGAATAATATTAATGATGGAGAGGTGTCTAGAGGTTACTATTAGTACCTTAGGGAATGTCTTGCTCTACCAGGGCAATACACAGCTTTGGACAAGCACTCCTAGGTTGCTTTGTGGGAACAGAAGTTTTCCTTACCCAATGTGGTTATCTTATTGATAGACATGGAGTAGTATAACGAAGTAGCAGAGTTTTTACTGCAATCCATCTGGAAGCAAGCTGTCCCCAATTCCTAGTTGAAGATGCCAGGCCTGACCAAATGGGTCTGTAAAAGTTGCACCCATCACATGTGCTTTAGGGGTTTTACATGTCCATCATGTTGAGCAGCAGCAGCTAGAGCAACCAGGGTATCAGCAGAAAGATGCAGAAAATGGGCAAAACTTACTATGGCTTCAGCACAGATGGCTGGCTGGATTCCTTGACTGTGGAAAATTTGTCAAAATAGCGGGTTTATAAAAAGGAAGGAAAGCTGCACCATGGTTGTATGCAGGTGCCTGAATGCAAAGGGTGAATCAGCACTGGGGATGGCTACCTATATCATAGGAACAGAAGCAAAAGAAAGAGGAATTTCAGAATATATTGAGTAATAAATTCCCAAGCTGGTATATTATTATAATTGGAACAAGGCTTATTAGATGGGATAACACAGTAAGACTGCCAGGGTCTGCACAGGAAAGAAAACACTTTTTCAAAGTCTGTCAAATCCTAAGCACTGATTGAATGCAAAGATATCATCAGCAGATTCTGAATTGACTATCTCAAAGAAGAGAGGAACATATAAGCAACACAAGTATATATTAAGAAGTTACACTGAGAGACTCAGGTTATGGAATAATGATGTTGCAGCATTAAAATGAGGTAGATTAGAGAATAAATAAATGTTAGTTCACAGTTCTAATAGCAAGGGTCTGTGGAAGTTATAAAATTATGATGACATTTGCAGATTTGCAGGAAGATATTGAGCCAAATAATACTGAAGACACAGTACCTTCCAGGGTCAATCAATAGTTAGCCACTTCAGTGACGTGGAGGCCTGATAGTGGTCACTGATATTCAGGAAGAGCTCAGTGAGGAGTTGAGGTAATGGCAGAAGGCAAATACATCAGTAATTCTTGGTAAAATCACCTCCCAAAACAACAACAACCACAAAAGGCAGCCAAAGTAAGAAGCTGTTATGAAAGCTGATGACCAAAAGTTTGAAAATATGATCTGAAGTAAAAATGGAGAAGTCCTGATGGAAGATTATTAAATAATTAGGAGATGTTATCTATTTTCTGAGAAACATCAATGAAAAGGGAGGAACTCTCGAGTGAAATAAGAGAAAGCTCATTCACAGGTGCTGCAAAAAAAAAAAACTGCTGAAAAAGGTCAAAGTATAAGAAATCAGTGAGACAAGACAGTACATCGGCTGAAGTGTGTAAAGCATTGGACTACAGGCAATTCATCATGAAAAAATTTAGCCTAAATAATTTCCATCTCTATGAGGATGAAGGACATGAAGGTTGTGAAAGGAATTAGAAAATATTGCAGAAATTTTCCCAACTGATGAAGCTACCGAATGAAATTACAAACATGATTTTTTGAGAAAATGCTGGATAATTTAAAGGCATATAGAAGTTAACCAGTGCCTAAAAAACCAAAGCTTTGCCCATGTGCTCAAGCTCAAGCTTACAACCAGGCCATAATGTCAGAATGTTTTCCTTAGGTTGACCAGTTAAAATGCACTTTTAGTTGTGAGGTAAGGGAGCAACACACTCAAAACAACATGAGGGCTAATAAATGCTGAAAAAATGCATACTCTTTATCTGGCTATGAGGAGTAGAAATCTTGGCTTCTGGGTGGGTGTATTCCAAAATTAAAACAGAAACTAATCACTGTTGCTTAAAGTCATATATAGGACATGGGATATTTGATAAGGCTGTTTGTTCTAAAAAGAGGAGGTAAGATCACAGCATTATTAGAATCCTGGCTGAGCCAGCTCCACACTGTTTTTTCTGCCATTATTGTTAGACCATTCCTTTTTCATCAGCAAGGAATAATTCCTTGTCTTTTTACCTCAAACATTTTGTTCTTAAAGAACAAACACTCATTGGATTTGTCCATTTGTTTCTATACCTTTCTCAAAAAAATAGTACTCAGATTAGAGTAATAAATAAAAACTTCAGCAGACTTTTTTCAGGAGAATGAAAGGAAAGAGTTAAAGGAATTGCATTTAGTGTTGGTGCTCTCTTAGTCTTTTTCCTGGTTTGAGCCAGGATGAAGCCCATTTTCCTCTTACTGTTGTGTTTTTTTTTTTTCTTTCTTTCTTTCAGTAAGCTTTCTTTTAACTAGTAGCAGAGTGTTCCAAGTAAGACTGATAGTGGTGGAATGTTTTTCTAACTGCTGGGTCTTCAAGGTCATATCTTTGCTCTGCCGGCTCTGACACTACGGGGAGATCTATGACCCCCTGTAGGAGGCTGAGTTAGACAGACAGCAAAATTGGCCAGAGATATTCTATTCCATATATCTAGGTAAGCTCAGAGGAAGGTGAGAGATCACAGAAGACAACTTCCTTCCTGCTTCTTCTTCCCTTCCCTGCTGTCCATGGCCGACGACCCTGGAGGACTCTGGAATTCTTCAGGACTGTTGGCAGCTCAGGGGAGTGCTGTGGGAGTTGCTGGGGCTGAGGGGGGGCAAGAGGCTTTTGCATATATCTGAACATATTTTATATAATTGTATATATTTTCTTTTATCATTAGTGTTTAATCAAAGCTGTTTAGTTTAGTTTTCAATCCAGCCAAGTCTCTCTCTTTTTTTCTCTCTTCTTCCCTACCTGGGTGGGAGGGAGAGGGGATGAAGAGCACTGTTGGCAAACCTGAGTCAAATAGTGACAGCTTTATTTAATTGCACCAGTCCTTCAGCCAACATTTTGAAGATTTGTTTTTAAATATTGTCAGAAACATGTATGAACTAGTATGACTTTTTAAGAAGCAGAATGACAGAAATAGAAACAATCATGGGTTCTGCAAAGACACACTTATACCAAGCACTAGCTGTGCACTCATTCCTGACTGCCATTGCACCAGACTGGAGTAGAGGTTATGTGAAGAATTCATGAGAAGAACCTCACACTTTGCATGCAAATGAAGACAAACTGTTAAGGGACTTTAAGTATGGGAGGGCTATTTTAAGAAGGAAAAAAAACCCCAGAACAATAGAACATACCCAGTGTTTCGATAAGAACAGTAAGATACTACACAGATTAGATTATGTCAAAGATTATGCCAGAGTTCAAACACTTAATTTCCTGTGGAATCATGGTGAGAAAGTGGATTAGGATATTAGGATATTTTACAGGCTTGGTGCAAAGAGCAGGAGTTTATTTAAATTTTAAGAGCTTGCTAAAGGAACAATATGGCAGAGTACCCAATCAGCCATAATGTACAGATGAGAAATTTGATTGAATAAGGGGCAAGAATAATTTCTCACATCCTAGAGGAGAGCTCTGAGTAAGGGCTGTGTAGGAGATAAAGCCAGTAAGCTATGTATGGAAACTCTGTGTACCAGGAGAAAATCTCACTGTGCTGACTAAAAAAAAATAAATCTGAGTTCTGAAAGACAGCAAGACAGGCTGTCAGACAGAGCACACCCAGCATTCAGCCATGGAACAAAGACTACAAGAGTGAGAATGGAAAGAGGGACTTAGGGAATTAATGGCAGAGGAAAGCGAACCTGAGAGATGCATTCTGTAGGTATGTTTGGTGGCAGAGAACATGCAGCCAGGCTTCCCTCAGCCTGAGCCTTGCACCCTGGGTCTATTCATTGGGTCAGCATTAGCAAAATTCCTTCTGGTATTATCCTGCCCCCAAGAACAATGATTACTTTAAATTTGAAGGGATAATGAAAACTTTAGGTTTATCTCCATATTCTTAACTTTTTTACTATTTAGAAGAGGGCTCTTACAGCAGTCAGAACCAGTATGCTCTCTGAACTCCTCTCACTTTCTCTCAGTATTATGCTCAGATGGCCATATTACCCAAACCAAAGTCCTTCAGTAAAAACCAGTCTGTTCTAGAAAGTATTTTTATCCCCTCCTTTGGGCATCAAATAAGGAAAAGTATTCAGTGATCATCGTCACCATATTTGAGACACCAATGCTTTTGAAGAGGACTGCTATTATTCAAACTATTAAGTATAAAGCAAATCTCTGAGACAAATGAAAAGGAGAGTTATCCTTCTTAGAGAAGGCAGCTAATGAACAATTACATTCTGTAATACTTTTCCGACAGCCAAATGCCAGACATGAAACCCTCTTCAGAAAATTGAAAGAGCAAAATAACATCTTCTTGTAACTGAAGCTCAAGTCCCTGGTGCCATTAATGGAAGTCACACAACTAATGGTCTTTTCTCTGTAGACATCTTCTCTTTGTAATAATATATTGAACAACGCTAACAAACCAAAAAGAAGGTGTCTTTTTTGTGTTACATTAAAAAATGGTCAGTTCAGAGAGTTGGTAATGTATTCAGCTGTCCACAAATGACTATCATAAACAGACATTTTCAGCACAACATTTGCATTCTATATTACACCAGGCAAAATTCCAGATACCTAGAATAAAGAAAGTATTGCCAGCAGATGAGAAAATCCTCTTGCACTTCCCTCTAACAAAGATAAAATTGTGTACCCTGAACCTCTGTTTTATCCCTGCAATGACAAAGTGATGGTCTGACTGAGCAGCCTTCCTTAAAGGCTCATTTCCACTCCTGCAAAAGGTAGTCTTGTGTGACACACTTCAATCACAGATACTTTCTTTTTGAGTGGGAAGGGTAACAGGGCCCTTGGTAATGTCTTGGATTGTTCTAGTTTTGTGGCAAATGATTAGGGAATGTGCATCGCTTTGCATGTATCACTTACAGAAATAAAAAAATTGATTAAAATTCTAATTCTCTGGTTTCTGATTTTATGTCCAGAAAATTACTTCAGTGAGCCTCCCTGCCCTATGTTTATGCTACTAACCTTAAAATGAGATTATACTTCCTAGTTTCTTGCTCTTTGCATAAGTTTTTTGTGTGTTCACAGATGAAGCAACAGCTATTTTTTTGTAGCTGATAAAATATGGTCTTTCCGTGGTAGATTTTTTTTTTCCCAGTTTTGGAAATAGCAAATTATTCTTTATGAAGTAATGCACTAACAGTGTTATTTTTTTCTAGAGTTACTATAATTATGGAACACTTTACTCACAACTATTTATGATCTTCCTTTAGCACATTTAATCTTTCCTCTATTCACATGCAAGGTGCTAGAAAGCAAATTGCCTACTCAGTACTCCTTAAAACAGCCAAAGAGGTGCTCTGTTAATGCTCCTATCAATTTGAAAATATGAAGGAGGCTTCACAAGGTTTATACATTTTGCTGAAAATTTAGCAGTGAGGAGTATTTGGCTTTGCACTGCAGGCAGGCAGCAGAGCTACACATTCCACATGCACACCTGGATGTGTTTTTCTAAACCAAATCCAGAAATTATTCAGCTTATGAGACAGCTACATAAAATTCTCTCAACTGAAGCAAGTCCTTGGACAAGTATTTGAGTACTAGCATTGAGGAAAGCTTTGCACCTATTTACTTGTTCTGGGACTCAAGATCTGTTTGAAGCATGTTATCCTTTATAACACCACTCTACTAATTATTATCCTCCTGTAGCAGATGGCAAGTTACAGCTTGCAAAAATCAAGGGAGTTACCGAAAGCTGCCCAGGAAACCCAATGCCAAAAAGAGACAGAAACTGGCTAGTTTGTACAAGTCTTTGCCTTTCATGCCAGTTTGCTGCCAAGCTTTATTACAGAGGAGAGGAGACATGTCCAAAAGCCAGGAGGCAAATTAAGAGTCTCTGAGAATTGTTGTGCAGGTTGTTAAGCACCTGTGGATAGCAAACAGAACTTTTTCAAGTTCATTTGATAAGGAGAAAGAATGAAAGCTGTGGAAAGGATCCCACAGCCACTATATGCAGAGGTTTATGGCCACAGGATTTTATTTATTTATTTTTTAATTGCTACTAACAAGAGATTAGTTTGATCAGTCTGTTTGATAAGGTGGTGACATACATAAGTAAAATGATGTTTGTAGTTTTCTATTGGATTGGAGGTCTAGTTGCACCAACAAGAAATTAAACTCACAGATTTCCTATGAGCTACAGACACTTGAAACCCACGTCATTAAAGGTATCATCAAAAATAAGACCGCTTTTTGTTTGGAGCTACCCAGTTTTACTTTGAGGCCACTTGACACATAGTCAGATGCCAGCCAACCAAGAGTGAAGACAATCACTGATACAGCTGGCACATATTTGATGCAAATGTACCTTTGTCACACACCCTGCAAAGGCTGCTAGAGTAGTTCTTTTGCTGTAACGAGTTGCACCATGACAAAGTGAACGTTTTATCTGGAAACTGGCATTAATGACCAAAACCCAAAGGGTCGCCAATAGTCATAGTCTGACTTTGTTATACTGGCAATGTTCTCCATTTGCACTGGGCTAAAACTCCATGAAAGTCAATAGAGATAGATAGCATTAAAAGAAGGCCAATGTCAGTCCAATTTTGAAAATAAAATTGAGAATATTGCCCTAAGGAATTTCTCTCAGGAATAAAACCATGAAAATAACACATTTTGTGGAAATAGATAAAGGAAAAGAAAAAGAGGGATGCAGATATTTCACCTAAAGAAATTTTTCCTTCATTAAATGTTCTTAGGTCTAAATAAGCATGTGAATAATAACCTAATCTGGGGGGAAAAAAAAACAAACACAAAACACAACAAAAATAAATAAATAAATAAACACCCCAACAACAACAACAAACCACAAACAACAACAACAACAAAAAACCAAACATAAAAATCCTCCTTTTCTGAAAAAACTACTGGTTTAGTCCCACCTATTTCTAGTTTGCTGAAGTTGGTACCTTAGCAACAACGTCGCTCAGGGCTACGTAGCACATCATCCTTTTTCTTTCTTCATTTTCCAAGGGGCTTGATTTGCTGCTCAAAGGCTGCTGGGAGAGTGAGAGCAAGAAGTAAAAAAAGAGAGCAAAGAGTAGGTTTTCTACTTATTTCAACACCTCAATGTGGAATTGCAATGTGAAATGCAAAACTCGCACTTTCTCATTGTCTGTGGCTGGTAAGATGAAAGTGCCAGTAAAGTGGCAGCTGTTCCTGAGCTACGTGGAAAGACATTAACTCCACATCCTCATCACTGTGAATAGCCAAGGAGGATCACTCTTGTTTTCTTGGAGTTTTATGTCCTACAGGTAACCTTGTTATAGTCTGGGGAAAAATCTGAATCAAATACTTGAAGGGTCATGCCAGGCTTACTCTGTTTTCCACTTACCTGAGGGAAGGCAGAGGTTGATGTTGCTGAGATTGCTCCTGCATTAAAAGCAGGTGCTATGAATGGCACCTGAGTATTAGTCTCCACAGTTGCCAATGCCTCCTGAAACATATTTACAGCCTTGAAGAGTGTCAGAAGTTGCTGAGCGAGTGTTTTATTACATTGAGTCAGAGCTCCACCCCTCCATAAGTTCTGAAACAGGAAAATTTCCCTCCCACTTTACTTGCCCAAAGAGCACGTCTCTTGTAAGACGTGAATGTTCATACCTGCAAGTCTTTTGACTTAGCAGAGCATCCTGAGAGACTAAATTTTTCCCACCTGGGGGCTCATAGGAGTGTAATAATAATGAAAACATGATTGATGATCAGATAGAGATCATCTGTGAAAGGTATCCTTTCAGCAACAACCTGAAAGTGATGGTAATACTAGCTTAATACCTATTGTCTCCATGCAAAATCCAAGAATTCCATGCACTATTGCCTCCATAATGAAAAACTGGGGGGGGGGGGGGAGGGGGGGGGGAGGGGGAAGCAGATAATTAGAAGGAAGACATTTATATATGAAGTTATTATTATTAATAATAATTCTTCTGAAGAAATACTTTTCTCTGAGAAGTGCTCCAGCATCATGATTTGTGCACACGTGTTTGTTTTTATTGTAATGTTCTTAAAAAGAAATGAAACAAGGTAGAAATTTGATAAGCAACATTTCTGTACTCCCTAAACCACAATGTATCATTTCTCCTTTTGAAATGGTTTACTTATTTCCGGGCTTTACATTCAACGCAGTATGCATCTTAACAAATTTAAATGAGATTCAAACCTTTCACCTTGAATAATTATGAAACTTTTCAGCAAATTTAGATAATCTCATGTTTTCTGAGGTTAAATTTTTCATTTTTGTATTCCTCAGTTCAGAACTGTCCTTTTCTGTTGTGAAAACATTCAGATTTCTGAGTAACTTTGTTCAAATCACCAGGTGGCTGGACAATACTAGGAAATTACTGGAATTTAATTGATTGATTCTGTACATTTTATGATTTTGTTTCATCTCCTGAGGATCTGCAGGTGTTCAGCACACCTCTAAGAAAGCTTAGTGATTAAATTTTCTCATCCATTATGCAAGCGTTATTAGACACATGTACATTTGTACTGAAAGTCCTCCCAAATGATTAAAACTAGTGCTTATGAAAGGACTTGAGGTGAATAGGATGACAAAGCATGATGCTTCCTATTAGAGACCTTAATAAGTATGAAATCACAGCCACTCTGTGGCAATGAGTATTGTACAAGCACCTTGACTGACAGAAACTGGAAACCAAATCACTTCCAGCAGTCTCATTACATACTTTTCCTATATGCACAGAAGAATCAATAGAAAAAGCTGGTGTTACCAGGAGAACAAGTTAGGACAGTTTGATCATCTTACATGCAGCATTCTACCCTTTAAAAATTAGGTTTAATTTTATGTCTGCATTTTTCTGATTATTTTTTTTTTAATTAAATAAACACATTTTTTACTCATATTGTGCAAAGGAAAGGTTTGCTATGAACTTCTTTTCTCACCTTCATTGTATTGAATTTTTTTGATGGAGCAGAAACTGCTTAATTGAAACATAATTTGATAAACTACAGCAATGAGCAAGGATAGCCACAAGCCTCTCCCACGCTTTGGCAGATGCTTTGCTTAAAATGATAACTTAGGCTTCTGTAAAAAAATGTTTAGAATCTGCTGTATTTTCTGTAAAAATGGTGATTAGAAAGGGTTTAGAGAAAAGTAACTGCACACACGAAAGCAATCACATTTGTGCCCCACAAAGGTTATCAGCTCCAGATCTTATTTCTGCAATGCGTAGAAGCTAATGGATGTCAGGTTTTTATATGAGAGCCAGTTTTAATTTCTGTGTGTGTCATATTGCACCTTTGGTTTTAAGACAAAAGGAAATGAGAAGGGGGGAAGAAGTCACTAGTATCCCTTAGAAAGGTGACTAAGAGTTATCTGTTGCCTAACAACTAACTCTATTTTCCTAACTTCAGCCTTCCTGACACAAAATATCTGTTCTTTAAGGTCAAATCAGAGGCAGCCAAAGGCACCTTTGACTCCATGCTGGCATTGGAATTGAATTTCCTAAATGAGTTAAAACTTCAAATTGCTTTTCATTATGAAGAACTATTCTCTTTGAGGCAGATATGGCCTTTTCATAAGGCATGCACTTAGGATAGGCTTGACCTCACCTAAGTGGCTTTCCTCAGGGTTGCTGCTGGAACCAGTGCTGTTTAACATCTCTGTTGACAACATGGACGGTGGGATTGAGTGCACCCTCAGCAAGTTTGCTGACAAGACCAAGCTGTGTGGTGCAGTCAACATGCTGGAAGGAAGGGATGCCATCCAGAGGGACCTTGACAAGATTGAGAGATGGGCCCAAGCCAACCTCATTAAGTCCAACAAGGCCATGTGCAAGGTCCAGCATATGCCCTGGGGCAATTCCAAGTACAAATAAAGGCTGGAACAGGTTGCCCAGAAAAGTTGTGGATGTCCCCTCCTTGGAAATGTTTAAGTCTAGGTTGGATGGGGCTTTGAGCGACCTGGTCTAGTTGTGTCACCATGGCAGGGAGGTTGGAACTAGATGATTTTAAGGTCCCTTCCAACCCAAACTATTCCATGATTCTATTATAAATTAAGTAATCTAGAAGTTAGACTTCTAGTTGAAGGTGACTGCCTGTGTACCCTGTGTACTGAATGGAGGAAAAAGCAAGCATGGCAATTGCAAGTAGTGACTAAACTCTGTATTGGATTGTTCTGGAGAAGCCTCAATGTCCAGGTCATACTTGACACCTACCTTCTGAATGTCTAAAGGTAGGTGAGGTAAATCCCACCTTGAGTAATAAGCATATCCTCTTTAATCACTTGTTTCCAAAGTTACTGATGCTGAGGGAAACTGACATTGAGGAGCTCAGTTGTGTGGTTAACAGGTGATTCACCCTGTAGAAATGTGAAGCTGCAAAACACCCTTGGGCAAAAGCTCTGTTAGCATATAAATAAAAAAAATCCTCTCACAGTTTCACATAACAAAGAGGTTTCATGATAGTCAGGATGGCAGAGAATGCAAAATGCAATGCTGCAAATGTTCCACTTCTTCCTGCCATATTCCAGTTTGGGATTACCTTAGGCCCCAGCGATCATGAATAGGACAGCTTGACTGCTGTTAATAAAGCCCAGGCTGTGCAGTGGTAGCTCATGCCTAGGAGTATTGAAGGAGAAATACAAAGTTGTTTTTTCCATGAAACCATACGTTACAATCGTGGAAGGTCAGCAGCTGCTTCCTAAGTATCTGAGATATGTCTAGGGACAAACGAGGAACGTGAGAAGGAAGGACAGAGAGAGGAAGAGTGCTACAACTATCTGAAGGTAATGCATTCCCCAGAGGTCAAATGATACATATAGTGCAGCTCAAGGAGCAGAAAAACTATGCTGGGCCACCCATGGATACCCACACTTAGGGTAAATTTGGAGTCTGTCAACAGGTGAGCTAGTGATCAGATGGAGGTCACCCAAAGTTGCTCTGCCTTGAATTGGTGTCATTTTAGGCTTTTTTCTGTATTATTTTTTTATGTTTCATGACTAATCTGTTGGTGTCTAAGACTACAATCAACATGATCTAAAACTACAACCAACAACTGAGCTATGCCAATATTAACATTGGTGCTTGAAGACACGGGTGTGATAAGAGTTGATTGTTCAAAGGTTTAAAGTGATAGATAAGGACAGAATATCAGCTAGATTGTATGTTTTCTTTTGACCTTTCTCAGTCGTTCACAATGATAACCCTCTTCAGCCTCTTTTCCACCCTTTCCAGATCCACTGCAGCCTACAGACTCTCCCTTATGTCTCATATATATATATAAAATGGGCTTTTTCATATCATGCTCTAGCAATGTCATGAGCCTCTCTTTCTTCAGTGCATCTGCCCCTCAGATTTCCCAGACCACCTTTCTGAACATAGGAGCAAGGGAGGGTCCAGCTTCCCTGAAACGCTTCTGGTTTACTCTTGATTAGTATCTTTACTAGAAACAGCTATCTTCTGCTCCCAAGAGCTACAGAAAAATGTAGTTAATGTGACTCACGGCACTATGATGCTTCAGGCATATTAAAACTTCTAACACATCTGAATAAAAGCAAAAAAAGTTCATGTTCATGTTAGAAATCAAGAGATAGTAGCAATATCCATAACAGACACACCAAAGATCATTCACAAGAATCAAGCTTTGATATGGCAATGGCAACCTTGCCTGATCCACATAATTGCTACTGGTGATCATTATGTGCTATATTTAAATAAGGTAGATACATTGGTCATAATGAGAAAGGTATATAAATATTTATTCATAACTCAAGTATGATCACATTAGGACAGAAAAAATGAAAAGGTTTGAGAAAACTTGGATAATGAATTTAGATCAGCATTAAAAAAAAAAAAAAAAAAAAAAAAAGGAGTGTCTCCATCCACCAGGAATATTATATTGCTTTTAGGAATGCATTCTATGCTCCTCTAAATGACAAATACAGGGTCAATACTAACTTGACCCACTCAGAAAAAACTTAAATTCAGAAAATATTTCAGAAACAGCCTGAAAAATACCTAATATCCCTGACAAATATTGACAGTAACTTGGGTTTGCAAGGTTATTTGGTCTGATTATTCTTACAGAGAACACAGTCTCTCTTCTGAGAGAACTAACTTGTAAGAGACCTGTGCATGTGCATAAGTGCAATTCTTTTTTAGTACTGAGCTTATATATTAAGTTCTTAAATTAGTCTTCCCTATTTGTAAGGTGTGCCCTGCATAGGCTCCTAGTTCTTACCAGCATCACTGTAGTCTTCTATCAAACACTAAAAAACTTTGGGACTGCTAAAGCAACTTATTCCGAAATAACTGGCTTCTAAACCTTTTTAGCTAGTAAGTTACCAGTATCTTTGTGCAATAATTAAACCAGCAAGTGCTGGTGGGATGTGCTTTGTTAAATACATAGGATACCATATGCTATTGTCAACTTTACATTTTCAGTATTAATTGCAGTTAGCTCCAAGGGAGAAAGTAAATTACAAGAACC